CTATAAGAGCAACCATAACCTGCAGAACATTTTCCATCTATCTTAACCTCTAGAGCCAAAGCTTTTAGGTGTGTCTTTATGGCATAAGTGGGTCACGTTGTATGAGCCGTCCTGACTGAGAGAGATGCACGTTGAAAATCAGCTGAAAGAGCAAACAAAAGGAAGAAACCGCTGGAGGTGGGATTACAAGAGGTCGGAGGCTGCGTGCTGCGTGTGCTGTGAGGCAATGTGCATGTTTGGATGGATCAGGTTTCTATACTGAGCAGAATGACAACATGTTACTATATCCAATATGTACAGTATATCCCCTATTCAAATGATCTGCACAGTGTGGACAGGTCTGAGCCTATTTGAATAGAAATAGTCACAATATATTTCAAGTATGATGCATTGCTACAGAAAATGTTGATAGTTTTATTCATTTTGTATAATAATATAAATAAATTAAATATTGGGGATAGAAAGAAAATTCATGTGTAACAAGGTTTTACTAATAATATGATTTATTTACGTTTACACAATATTCACATTGTTTATTCACACTGTCGGGACATTTATTTATGAAACAAGAAAAATCTAGATTTAACATGCATGATTCTATGGAAATAAAATATAATAATAATATTTATTTATTTATTGAAATATGTTTAATGTCATAAAGTGGAGGGTTATGGTCAAGTTAACAATATTTCCATGTAAAAAAAAAAGGAGTCAGGTCTTCCTCCAGGGTAAGTTACAGTTACATTCAGGAGGACACGTCTCATACAATTTTTTTTCCCAATGCTATAAAACATTTAATATGAAAATACCATGATCTAATGCGAATTATTGGAGTCTACACCTTCCGAGTTACAATCCATCACTCGCCCTGAGCCAAACCTCTGCAATACACTATTCTAGTTATATTTGTGCAAAGATAAACCAGCCAGATGATTTGCTAAAAATACTTGGTATTAGTATCACAGGTTAATCATCAGTTAATCTGACCACATCACGCCTGTGTCCCTCTTTACAGCAATTCCAGTATGCTGGAAGGACAGCTGGGTTTATAATCATATGAATAATGTACATTTTATTTGTACTGCAAACTTTTACTTTTACAACTGAATACCACATCATGTTTTTTGTACTATACTACATTTTAGTTTACAATGGCGTTGATCAAATGATGGCAAGTCCTAAACAACTTTCCCTTTGCAAGCGCACTTGGGCCACCTGGACATTCACCCGCTACGTACTTCTTGCTGGGTGCTCAATGCTATCGAAGCTTAATAATAGGTCTTACATTTTAAGACTGCTTATTTAGTATTTTATTTAAAAAAAACATTAAGCATTACAAAAATGTAACAGAACATTGTGTTCATCCATAAGGCCTGAGAACAGAGCCAGGATTGTTGTGCACCTGTAGCTTTTGAAGGCTGAGATGAAAGCCTGTCCTTTAATGATAGCTTCTTCCAACATCACAAATGTCAACATTTTGCACCTCTGGCCTATGAGGTGTGTGAATAAGAACACACAATCCAGTCGCTCTTACCACTTACATCTCACATTACAACCTGCCGTACAGCCTTGAGAGAAGAGATGATCCTGAACGGAGCTTTTTCTAAAGAAACTGCATATTGAAGTAAATGTTCCGAGTAATTAGAAAACTTGCAAGGATCAACGACAAGCAGTAATGTAAAAGTTTGGTCAAAGGAATAGATTAGAACACCAAGAAACACATTTTAAAAGAAGTTATTGAACTATTCAAATATGCCGTGCAGCTATTTTGTCTAACATGAAGAAAAGCATTATTCTATTTTCAGTTATATACAGTTACAAGAATTTTATCATACAGTTACAGTATTTTTTATGGGTTCAAAGTTAGGGAACTCCAGCTTTAGAAGTGCATAAAAATAAAAGTTAGGTACTCCAGCACACAAAAGAAATGCAGAAACTTTGATCTTCTTTCAAGTTTGGATTTCCATTCTGTGAAAACGACAGCTCTTTCTTCACAAACGCTGCACACAATGTCTCTTCTACTTTGTTTTGGAGTCGACAATAATTTTCGGCTTAAAGTGTAACGGGATTGTGCGACAGAATTCACTCTATACAGTGCTACATACTTCTGCTCGGCCAACAACAAAAGCTCAAGCCATTTACAGCCAGCACAATGGACCCAAGTCGTAAGAGTCTCGTGTTTTATTCAACAGCCCTCATGAGAAATTAAACAAGACATTATCTAAGGGGCTGCAAGTGTTGGAGGAAGATCACATCAAGTTATTTTCTCACCAAGAAGAGACACTGTTATCTGAACTCAACTTATATGTATTTAAACTGTAACTTCATTAATATGAGAGTCCTGGAAACTATTGGAGCCAGTGGAACACATGGGAGGCTGCTACACCTAGTGGTCAAAATGAGAAGTGTGACCAGCTCTGCCATGCTGCTAACAGTGTGTAAGGAGCACTAATGCATGACTGAGTGCACTGTAACTGCCAGGAATCTTGATCTCATCTTTCACATTCGATTAAATCCTGATCCACGGACTTGTGAAGCTAATTTTCTGAACTAGTGCAACTGTAAAAGAGGATTTAGGTGAAATACATAATGGATTTGTTTGGGTGGTCTTAACAACTATGTCAGTTTGAATGTATATGTATGTACTTTTTTCCTTCCATTGAAATATAATCTAGGCAGTGCCTCTTTAGATAGTTTACATTTTTAGGTAATTTTTTGTTACAATTATGTATAATGACAGCTTCAACGTTATGGATATGTTGAACAGATGGGCGCCACGGCACTCTGAAAGGATTGATTTTTCCTGCATATATTGACCATTGGTGGATAGGGAAACAGCCAGCTGATCAGCAGCCAACCACAACAACCACAATCTAGTGTATGGGCAATTAAGAGCTACTGTTTCACCTATGCATTGAGGGGCAGGCCACACAGAGCGTATGGTAACATAATAGGACATGCATTGGTGCACACATGCAGTGATAGGAATCAATCCAACTATTCACAGACAAAGAGAACACCTACATGTATATATCCTATTATTTGAATAAGCCGCAAATGAGACTAGTGTTTTACTTTGAGTACAAAAAGACTCTCCATTGATCACATGTTTTCTATTAAGATAAAGACAGTGCTGTGGTCTGATTTGTTCACCGAACGTTGCTTAATAAGACTTCCTGTCAAGACAAACAACAAGTATTTGTTAAATTTTTTAGTCAGGTACTCCAGATAAATAGCAGCAAGTACATTTTTTTTAGCCTTTACAATCTTGATGTTAAATTGCATAGTCACTAAGAGAGCTATGGTCCTTCTCATTTCACAACAGAAACAAGATAAGGACATTACTAGGCAATTGGCTGCTATAATGACCTCACTCTCTGCTTAATGTAGGGTTTAATTTCAGAATGGAAGAGAGCAAATGAACTGTGAAATATGTGCCATGGTAAAAGGTCTATTGAAGTCTACAAAGTGCTGGGGGGAAGGCATTTGTTGTGCTGTTATTATTGCGACTACACTTCTTACAGTCAGTCCACAAGGTTAGGGACTATCAAATGAACCACATTACAGTCCACAGAAATGCATCAATGTGTAACGATTAAATTACTTTTCTGGTACAGATAATTGTAAGAATAACTGCAGTTGTATTTTTTTTTCAAATGGGCATGAGATAAGTACATTGTGTAAGTGATTGCATTTATTTGTTTATAATTGTATATAGGTGCATGTGTGGGTCTGTGTATGTGCAGTATGTAAGTATGTATGTAAAATACTAGTATGTAATAATAGGGTTGTGCAATAGCTACGTTTTGAAGTGTATTATTGTGTTATTGAAATTAATATAAATTCAAAATTACTATATAGTGGTCAAATATCCATCCACTTTAGAGTCTAGTGTGTTTTCATGACATTTACACCGCCCTGCTCAGGGACTACAGCTGGAAAGTAGCAGTTTTGCTTTAACCTGGTCAAATTGTCTCTGTTCAAATAAAGACATACCATACCATTCCAGTCTATAAGGATCTTAAGAAGATTAAAAGCTAAGAACCATTTACACTAATATGGTCTGTTCCGTTATGCATGACAACCACTCCTTCAAAGCCTTTGTAGTATATGAGGTCTAGGGGTCTGGTGTTCATGTGGCCGATTAAAACTTGTGAAAAGAGTGAAAACAGCAAGTCTAGAGTAACTAAGGGTTAATAAGGTTAAACAATCAAATAATTAGGACTAATAAGCAAAAGTAATATGATATGCTATACTGGTGGGAATATCCATCCATCCATCCATCCATTTTCTACCCTTTAATCCATTTCTGGGTCAGGGGGGTGGCAGTCAGAGATGCCACCCAAGTCTCATAGCACCAGCCCCTCACTGACCCTCTGCAGGTGGTGAGTCCACAGGAGGACGGCTGCTCTCTGACTGTGAGCATAGCCTTGATCTTTCAGTGGGGGCTTTGGGCAAAGTGGGGTTAAGTGTCTTGCCCAAGGACACAACGACAGCAGTCATCAGTGGGAGTCGGTGGAGAAGGTGCAGAGGTGGGAATATACCGTGATAAAAATGTACACACAAAAAAACCAAGAGGACTCATATGGTATTTAGTCAAACAATATTTACTAAAATATTGAGTTCCCTACTAACAATTCAGCACAATGATACATTTACATGGTCAGAGAATGAGTTTGTACAAATAAGAATATGATGTCAGTAGTTTGGGAAAGCCTCTGAACCTCAGTGACTGAAGAGATTCATTATAGTAAGATACTCATTGATTATTCTCAAAGGATGTCCAGTTGAGTACATCAGGGTGGGACCAGGACAGAACGTGTGTTAGCAGAGCCCAGGATTGAGACTCGGACTCTTAGATAGAATAAGAAAAACTTTTATTGTACATTGTCAGGCACTGGCAAAACCTGTTTGTAATACAGCAGGCTACATACCATACACACCTTAAATCCCTATGTACATGAAACATCTTCAATGTATTTACTGCAAGTATTGTGGGTTCAGGTGAAGAATAGAAGCCTTTGGCCAACTGATGTGCCGTAAAGAGACAGATTAACAGCAGGGATCACAGAGCTAGACCTAAATGTGCCCAGGCCAGACCAGTCTTTCTGCAGAGACAGCCCAAAAGAGGCCACACTTGTCTGGAACATCGCTTTGGGACCTAAGCCGCTGACTATTTTGAATTTCTCCAGCTCTGCCTCCTGCAGTCTCTTTGCTTTGGCTCGTCTGTTCTGAAACCAGATCTTGACCTGAGTCTCGGACAGCGACAGGGAAGAGGAGAATTGGCCGCGTTCAGCGATGGAAAGGTACTGCTTCTGGTAAAACTTTCTCTCCAGGGCCACGAGCTGCGCTGTGGTGAAGGGTGTTCGAGGTTTACGGTTGCTCTTGTGTTTCCTCAAGGAGCAGGCCGTTGGACAGTGCAAATCTGAAAACAATTTATAATTTGTTTTAATACTTATTCAGTTTACTGCTACTGAATACAAAATAAAATCCCATTCAGTAAAGATATTGTATTGCATGAATTAAATTGTATTTTTAGAACCAATTGTATTTTTCTATTGGCTATTCACTTCTGGACACTTTTTCCTAATCTGGTCATGTGTTTGTTGTACACATAATTTATTTTCACAATATTTACTAATATCCAAAATATTACAAATGACAGCTTAATAGTCTGACTCTATTACTGAACAATAACCCTGCTGTTCCTATAGTTCCATGCTCTCAAAACAGTTGGGTTTGACACTAGTTTTACATACATTGATTAGTTGGCCTTTGACACATCTTTTGAGCAGCTGCTTGAGACAGAAAATTGAAAAAGAGCAACTCTTACTCAGCCAGTCAGCTCAAAGTGCCATGTAGTGACTTACAAGGGCCCTTTCTGACATATATGCCATATAAATGTTTTCTAACAAGACCAAGACAGCATGTTGTGGTTTGATTTGTTCACAACATTGTTTACAAGACTCTATATGTTCAAACAAAATATAATACTTCTGATGATAAAAGTGATGTATCCAAGTTTTAACAGTGTTTGATTATAAAAACAATGAAATAATCCCTGTTGGATGCATTGACAAATTCGTTACACCGTATGTTCATCTAATCGCAATGCATGGTTGCTTTGTGACTAAATTGAAAAGATTGGGGCATTGGAGAATCTCACTTACACTGAGTGGGAGCCGTTGTCTTGGGGATAGGTGTCAAACACAATTGGTCCTGTCCCTCCACGCGTTCAGATTTGACAGATAGCAGCTGTTGAGAAGTCTCCACCATGTCATGTTCATCTTCTTGTCCCTGGCGAGTCCCTGTGTCCTCCTGGGGTTTCCTGTCCGACATGAGGGCCTCCACGCTGAAGGGCAAACGTGACGCCTTCACCATCGGTAGGTGCCCATCACGTAGCTGTCCAGGTGCTTCCAAAAATGCCATGGTTTCTTTTTTCCCCTTTGGTTTTTGTGGAACAGATCGATATCTAATTCCCCGCCAGAAAACACATTACTTCTGCCTTGTGAAGCGCAAACATACAGCGTCTGTACCCGACCGTGTTCCAGTGACAAGTTGTGACCAGGAACAGAAAACTTTAGGCAGTCCAAACTTTTTTTTTTTTAATTGAGGGGAGGTCCTAAGGAAATTGCTCTGTGGGAAGATTTGATTTGGCGGTGTGATTTTGGGATAATCCACACCCATGCACCAGACACAAAGTCAGCATTAGCACCATTTAAGAGCAATTAGGAACCCTCAGCTTTTGTTTATAGACAATTTAAATGTAATCCACTGGTAATACAGTTTTAAGTCTTGTTTTAGGCAATTCAGTGGCGCCTTGATGACTCATTTGAAAGAATGCAGTCCTCCCCAGCCAAAATTTCTTAAAAAACAAATCCACTATTACATGAAAAGCAGTGGTGTATTTAAGCACAAAAAAGCTGATTCACTAGACTTGATACAACCCTTATCTACGTTAGCATAGAAGAAAAGTGTTAATCATAAGAACTTTACACTGTACAGCATCCAAACAGCTGAATAAGAGAGTCTGTAGAGAAAAAGACTGTTATTACATTGTTGCTATTAACGCCTTGTAATTAGGTAAAATGAATCCGGTGCTTTTAAGGAGGATTTAGGCGTAAAAGTGGAAAATTGCTATTTTCCTGAGGTGTGTGGCGCCTAGCGATTAGTGCGAGTCTGTGGGGATTGAGGAGTCATCTCCTGGTTTGAATGAGGGCAAGGACAAAGTATGAGACAAAGAGACAAAGCAGCACACGCTGTGCTCAGGGTTAAAGAAGAACCCAGGGTCAAAGTGAAGGTCGGACTGGTTCTGCTGCTGCTCAAGGCGCAACTTCATTCCCTAAAACAAGACTTTCACTGCACACTCGTTCACTGTGATGCCTTCAGATTCAGATTCATTTATTTGCCATTTGCAGTAAAACCACATTGGAATACATTTGCCAAAGTCCCCAGTGTGAACAAGACAAGTACAGACATAAAACAACATTAAAAGACAGAAATAAAACAAATATTATTGTCACTATTGTCACTGTGAAATCGATCGACCAAAACAATATCAAAACAAGTGCAAGGCCATTTTAAAGTGCTCTGTTCAAGCTGATAACAGCCTGTGGAAAAAAACTGTTAGCGTAACGAGATGTCCTGCATCTCAGCGAACGATATCATCTGCCAGAGGGAAGAAGCTGGAACAAGGCTTTTCCAGGGTGGCCAGAAGAGTAATTGATAATTCTCAGAGCTCTGTTTAAAAGTCTGGATTTATAAAGAACCTCCAGAACAGGAAGCTCACGGTCCTCTTTGCAGAGCGGAGCACCTTGTTTAAAGATCTCTTTTCTTTATCTGTGATGTTTCCAAACCACACAGACACAGAACCAGCAAGTAAACTTTCAATGGTGAAGCGGTAAAAGTTAAGCAGAATCTTAGAGTTAGTGGTAAATTCTCTAAGTTTACGCAGAAAGTAAAGACGCTGACGAGCTTTCTTAACGACTCGGTCAGTGTTTTTAACCCATTTCAGGTCGTTAGACAGAGTTAAACCTAGAAACTTGCACTCCTCTACGATCTGCACCTGGGAGTTGTCGATTAGTTGGATGTTCAACTGGAGGTTGTTAGTTTTACTCCACTGAACCACATTTTGTATCTCTGCTCTATAAGAGGATTCATCATTGTTACTGATGAGACCGATGATGGTGGTGTCATCAGCATATTTAATGATCAAGTTTGAGTCAGAGGAAGACACACAGTTGTGAGTGTACAAAGTAAAAAGCAAAGGACTCAAAATACAAATACAATACTTCTACTATTGTGCAAAGTAACATTCACTTTTACTTTGGAAATTGCAAGAAAATTGGGGTGAAGGTGTGCAATAATGGTCCAAAGTGCACTTTTAATTTATTCATTTTTTTTAAATCTGAAAGAGTTTTGCCACTACTTTCACTGCTAACGTTCACTGTCATGTACAAGGGGCGCCATGATATATTTTCGCCTTGGGCACCTGAGGGCCTAGTGCTAAGTGTTTAATTTATTTAGCAAGAATTTAATAAAAACTTTATTGAAAACTAGTTTATTTTGATAGCAATCTGCATGATCTATATAGAATAATATATATATATATATATTATTTTTAATAAAAATAAAAAAAATAAAAAGATAAATAATAAAAAATAGAAAAGTCTAAGGAATTGTTTGTGGGGAACCTAGGCCCATATAGAAAATAAAAAATATAGTATCCTGGAGTCTTATTTTGCTTGACGGGTTATAATGATAATAACAATTGTACAATTATTATTTGTGACATATTAAAATTGATTGTATTTCAAATGTCCTAATCTTCGTCAAATCTTATTCAAATAAAAGGGCACGAGAAGTATTATTTACCAAAACTGTCCCTAGAGCCAAAGTAGAATAGGACCTTCTGTTGCGATACAGTTTAAGTGGTACAATAATAGACCATTACAGTCAAATGTTAGGTTTTGTATCCTGCTCAGTCTCAGTGTCTCCGTCAGTGTTTAACCAACAAGCCCAGTCTCTCCCTCACTGGAGACATGGGCAATGAACAAGTCATATGACACCGTCACAACCTCACGCACCGAGTTCATGTCTTTGAGATTACACCTAAAGGAGTTCAGGCACTAGTGGCAACGTTTATGTTTACTGAATTAATATTGTATATTAGTGGCAAACCATAGAATTGAAAAAAGGAATTCTTATTATGCAAATAATAGATAAAGAGAAAGTGAGCTGATTTAAAGATGCATAAAATTCATGCAACTATTTTTAAGACTATTTTAGAGCCACTAGCATGTGGAGCATGCAACTATGTACACGGGGTAGGATGTTTTCTTTTTCCCTCTCCATTTCAAGCTAATACATTGTACATTAAGTTGTAAATATATGTTGTAGATATATCAAAACATGGTAAATGCATTAAATATTACTTTTTTGCATGTATGTATCTCTAGCTATGATTAAATTATTGAATTAATGGATTTTAAAGACAGACCAGTAATTTATTTGTGGTTTCAAAGTTATGACCCCAAGCTTTTATTCTCTAAGAACTTCTCTTCTCTAAGAAGTCAAACCAATAATGCACCAACATGTCTCAGTTAAAAGATCCAACAAGAAAAGCTCTAAGCTTGGAGCTGTATGAAAGACAGCATGCAAAGAAAGGCTCTTTCCCATTCAAAATGTAAACATATTAAAGTCAAGTGCAGTTGGTCTCTGCAGCTGTTCATTGAGCTGTTGGGAGTAAATAGAAAATCCCTGTTTATCTCAGTAATTATTCACTCCGGGAAACTGAAAGCAGTAAGATGCATTTTCTCATTATACATTATCCCTCGTCACAATTATTTTGTAATGGTTTTGTGATAGAGCATGCTCAGAGCATATTTCACTGTTTATATTTATGTGGAAAGTTTAGGACCAGAACAAATGACACTACAATAGTGCTGCCACAATAAACATTTTTACTGTAGATTATCTTGAAGACTTGGACAAGTCCACACCTTTCAAACTTAATAACAGACTAAGATCTGAACTGTCATGTGAGATGCAGACTTGAATCGACTTACAATGTACCGTTGCTATTCATTGATTTCTAATTGCGCTTAACTTTCTAGTAATGACTTGGGCTGATACCTTTACTTATTTAAATGTATCTAATCATTTAGCAAATAATTTCTGAACCAGAAAAGACAGAACTGTAATTACAGTAGAAACATGTAAATTACATCAAACATTTTCAATTAAAACATATTTTTTGTAAGCTTTTTGGTCAGATGAATATATATGGGATTTAGTGATCAACAAAACAGTAAAGTGGTGACACATCACTATGTGGAGCATATAATACTCCAACAAATGCTTCCTGGAGATAGAATGCCATGTTGCCTATAGTGTAATGGCCAAAATGAAGATATTTCAGTGAAATCAAGCAGGAGGAGGGCCATGATACCGCTGTAGTGTGAGGGGGGTGGCTGCCTTCTCAGACTGGAGGGAGAGAAATGGTCTGATCCTCAATGGGTCCAAGACCAAGGAGATGGGAAACTCCAGACACCCTCTGCATGACACTGTCATGCAGAGACCTTCTCCACTGCTGTCGCTGAGTCCTTGGGCAAGACACTTAACCCACTGTGGAGCGCGGAAGTAATGTTCGCTGCACGCCTTGATGTGTGAGTGAATTCATCAAACTAAAACGTCCCCATTATGGGACAAATAAAGAACCTTCTTCTTATGTGTTTTCCTTAATTTGGAGAGGATCGTCTGTGTCATGTATTTATCATATTTTGTGTGCGCTTAAAATTAGCAAATGCCAAGGGGTAGATACAAAGCACTGAAAAGTAAACCAAACTGTTTAAACATTGAAAGCTGGTTAAGGGACTTATTGGATTTTGTGGCAACGGAACAGGAGGTATCGTCCTTCGTAGATTTTAATAATAGATCCAATGCACCAGAAACAAGCCTATCCTTAAAAAACGTTGAACATGGGTATGCACATGAAGACATCATTCATTCCATGAGTTTAAAAGTGAAATATTATTTTAAAAGTTCTTAGTGGAAATATGTCGTTACATTTAGAATAGAAAGATGACTGGGTGAAGACATGAAATAGGCAAATAGATCATATATCTTCTATAAGTCCTGTGAAATATACATTTTCATATGATAAATGTATCATATTCAGTACAAGGGGACAGGTAAAGGCTTGCATAGATCGTGATGTAACAGCGCCCTCTGGTGGAAAGAAATGTATTTGGAAATGAGTGAAAACAGCTAAAAAGCTGGTCACAGTCTAAGGTCCAAACCTACAATAAGTAATGGCCTTTTTCTCCTGCCGTGAATCACACACAAAACCTTTTCTTTTTAAACATAAAAAACAGCAACAACAAAACATACATTTACTGATATATTGATTGTTTAAAAATCACTTTATGTTCACCAGTGTACATTCGAGTTGTTTGTTGAAGCTGAAGAAGAATAAATTGAATTCAATAATTTGAAAAATGTGAAACATGTGAAACATTCTAAACAGGAAATAACTCAAACACTTAACCACAAGCTTGCATAAAAGCATTGGTGTTTACTTCACGGTTTTATTGTTTTGCCAGTGGACACAAAAACAATTGTAAGAAGATCACTTATTGCATACTTATTTCAATAGAAAAAAGTTATTTTTCTTATCAAGCACACAAACAGGTTTAACAAAATGAGGGTGAAAATCCTATTCAACTGAAGAGAGAAGATGAATCTATAACTCCAACAAAACAATTGGAAGATGTGAAGGAGCCTCTCTTATGGAGGCACAGGAATATGGTTAAGTAGGCTGTGTGTGGCTGCACTGGACCTGAGAGAGGCTCATCAGTCTTTGGCGAATTTGGTTGTTCCCTGCGAGCATCCGCGAGATGTTCCTCAAAACAGCCATCTTGATCTGCACACAGGTCAGCCTAAATGTTCATATTAATGCCATAGTAACTTCACAAAAAAACATGGAAGCATTCAAAAAGAAGGGGGACTTTGATCTAAATTGTGCAACAGATTAGCATGACCTACTTATGTCTGGCCCAAAACACGAGAACATTATGAATTATATAATGTGGCGTTTTATTTGTGTGGCGTACAGTGTAATCTTAATCATCAGGCCTGAAACTATTCATCGGTTTGTTTGAATTATTCAATTATCAGTGCTTTGATTTTTTTGATCATGTTAGTACTTTAAACCATGTAAAAATGTCATGCATCAAGCACATGTGCTTGAATTTGAGGACCCCAAGGAAACGAGATGATTCATCTCAAGGGGCTGTTCCTCTTGATACACGTTAATAATAATGATAATTGAGTTACACCCATGTGTTGCATAGATATCTTTCTGCATGGCACTGCTGCAATGATCAACTGACTTTGAAATCAACTAAAATAACTGAATAAAAAAATGAAAGTACAGTTCAAACACAAGAAATGCAAGGATAAAAACAATTTAGAGCCATTGGTCCAAAAAGGGCCAGATGACCATGTCCATGTGGTCATGTTGATAAATGTCCATAAATGTTGAATGTCAAGTGTCCTGGATCATCACCAGTGTTCTTAGACCATCCTGCATCAGCAAAGAAAAACTCTAGAAACCCAGTGGGGAAAAAGTGAGAAACCTGGGGCAGGCCCACATTGAGAGAGGGCTCTGCTCAGGACTCCCATGGATACACTTGATGAGGCGGATGAGTCAACCCATGAATAATGTTATACACACAAAGACATCATGGAAATTAATTAAATTAAACATTTGTAGCTTGACTCTATATGACAGAAGGACAGGCATCAGGCAGAATTTATATGTGAAGAGAATTATACCAGTCAGTGTTTGATGATACCTCAACAAAATAAGTCCAACAAAACACATGAGTATAGGAGTTATACTAGATGGAAACGTCACATTTACCTGAGGACAAAAGTTGTTAGTTTGTTAGAATTATGAAAAAAATCAAGTCATTGAGCCAATGCCTTATTATATCGCTCATTATTGCATCGTTCATTATTGTATCGTTCATTATTGTATCGTTCATTATTGTATCGTTCATTATTGCATTGTTCATTATTGCATCGTTCATTATTGTATCGTTCATTATTGCATCGTTCATTATTGTATCGTTCATTATTGCATTGTTCATTATTGCATCGTTCATTATTGCATCGTTCATTATTGCATCGTTCATTATTGCATTGTTCATTATTGTATCGTTCATTATTGTATCGTTCATTATTGTATCGTTCATTATTGTATCGTTCATTATTGCATAGTTCATTATTGCATCGTTCATTATTGTATCGTTCATTCTTTTTCCAACGCTACCTTTTCTTTATCACTTTTTGGTTGTTCGTCTCCATTACTGAAGACAAAGGCATCTTTCTCTCGCACGGAATCAGGAGCAGAACTAGTACCTGTAAAAGCAAAACATATGAATGTTGTAAAGAATTAAAAATAATAATATATATATATATATATATATATATATATATATATATATATATATATATATATATATATATATATATATATATATATATATATTTATATATTTATATATATATGTATATATATATATTATATATATATATATATATATATTATTATATATATATATATATATATATTTATATATATATATATATATATATATATTTATATATATATATATATATATATATATATATATATATATATTTATATATATATGTATATATATATATATTTATATATATATATTTTTAAAGGTATGTTCTAGTTTTGTGCTACAAAGGTAATACTGGAAACTGACTTATGCTAATAAAAGTTAGCTTGAGAAGTCTGTAAACATGTAATACTTATCATCATGATAATATTAAGACTCACTTTGCGATCCGTCTCTGTGACAGGCTGCGGAAGTGTTCTTCTTGGGTGATAAAAGACATCGTGGGCCCGTGGCTTTGCGCTTCTTTTGCCCCGTTGTCCTGAGGCCATCTTTGGGCAGTGCGGCCGGAACCATGAGCCCGGGCCGCCGCATGTGAGCCGGAATCATGGTTGTTTTAAAGGCCGGAGTCTGGTCCAGAGAAGATGGAGAGCAGCTCACGGAGTCATGTTCGAAGCTGCTGCTGCTGAGCTGAGAGTGAAACCGGGGCGCAAACTTGGTCTTCTTCAGCGCCATCTGCACAGGTCCAGTCCGAGTCCACAGAACAGAAGTCAGGTCCAGTCCGAGTCCACAGAACAGAAGTCAGGTCCAGTCCGAGTCCACAGAACAGAAGTCAGGTCCAGTCCGAGTCCACAGAACAGAAGTCAGGTCCAGTCCGAGTCCACAGAACAGAAGTCAGGTCCAGTCCGAGTCCACAGAACAGAAGTCAGGTCCAGTCCGAGTCCACAGAACAGAAGTCAGGTCCAGTCCGAGTCCACAGAACAGAAGTCAGGTCCAGTCCGAGTCCACAGAACAGAAGTCAGGTCCAGTCCGAGTCCACAGAACAGAAGTCAGGTCCAGTCCGAGTCCACAGAACAGAAGTCAGGTCCAGTCCGAGTCCACAGAACAGAAGTCAGGTTCAGCAGGACCTCGGCACGTGCAGCATTGGTATTTCTGTGCAACTGTGGTTTATGCTAATGCTAACCTTGGTAAGGCAAGGCAAGTTTATTTGTATAGCACAATTCATGCAACTCAAAGTGCTAAATAATCACAGTATTAATATATAAAATATATAAAAAAAATCCCTAAGTTGTATGCACAGCTAAACAGAACTGTTTTTAACCTGGATTTAAAAATTGTCAGAGAAGTGGCCCATCTCACATTTTCAGGAAGATTGTTCCAGATTTTAGCTGCATGAATCCGAAATGATGCCTCCACATGTTTAGTTATGACTCTGGGCACTAGCCAAAAACACTTGGCAAAAGATGTTTTAAAATAAAATCTGTGAAATACATTGATTCTGTATACAAGTGAAATGTATAATAATTAATTATATTATATATATATATTATTATATATACATTATTATTTTATTCTACAAATGGGGGGGAATGCACGTTTTTAGTTTCAGTCAAAGGCCGTCAGGATGAAATCTGGTTCTATAAATAATCTACCGCTGACCCGATTCAGCCTAAACCTCCAGATGTGTTCTAAAATAGGACTCGAACAGAACAGAAATAGGACCATCCTTTTAGATAGATTTGACAGACAGAAAAAAAGGTTTAGTATATTATTAATGTAAATAAGTTACATTTTATGTTGACACTGGGAATATTGACTGTCAAATACAGGTTCAAGACTAGTTCAATATGTATTATATCAGCATTGGTATTGTCAATTCCATATTCAGGGGCGAGAAGCTATTTTTGGGGATCTGACTGCTCAGATGGAGTATCTTGCTTGAGGACAATAGTTTGGCACTGGAGCCACAGCTGTGCCCTACCTGACAACAATCTCCCATCCAAGTACGCTGCATCCCTTGGCTTCTTTTACTTTACTTGTCCAGATAACTAAACTAACCAAACCAAGAATGCAGAACATGGAACACAATATTTCTTCCTCACAGCATTTTATTCGTTCAACATCTCACATTACAAATACTTCAAATGTATGCATACAGTTACAAACAGTTGGCAGCAAATGAATAAATGACATTAGATCTGTATTACTTCAATACTACAAACCAACTATAAAAACTGATGTCTTGTATTTTTGCAGAAATTAGGAAGAAAATATAAAAATTCAAACTTTTGTATAAATGTGAAATGACTGAATGGAAAATCTAAATAATGACAGGTAAAAAAAAAGTTAATAAATATAACCTTCCCAGCTTAATTAAAAACTATTGAAATTTTGCAATCAAGTAATACTAAACAGACATAATTTTTTTTTTCATCTGAAAACATTGAGCACAATACAGCAATTAGAAAATCTAGACACATCAACAGGTTAAACACATCACCCAAAAAATATAACAGAATCTGATCAAAATAAAAGTCATACATTTCCATTGAAAATATAGCAAACGCTAAATACATTATCGACCTAGTATATACAATGTTTTCAATCACAGTAGCATGGTTGTAGCAAAATAAGTAAATAAGCACAAAACTAATATTTAAAAAATAAAGTCAGGTATTAGCATTTTCTTGCAGACATCAGTATGAACAACAGGAAATGAATGTGTAAATGACTGCATGGTTTATAGGGATTAAATGACATACACTGCAGACTTTTATCTGGAAAGAATAAGTATTGCACATAATGGCTCAAAGTTTTAACTTGCAACATTAAATCACATTCAGGTTATGTCCCAAAGCATGCCACATCACAAAAGGGGTCAAGTGATCAAGTCTCCTCACCTAAGTCCTACTGAGTGTCTTCTATATTACAATACAAAAACGCATCCAAAGTGTTGTCACGGTGTAGATTGCATAAACATCATGTCTGTGTGAGGAAGGCTCCATCATGTAAAGAGGCTACAAGAGATCTCAACGAGATAAGGAAACCAATGTTGGTAAGGATAAGGAGTTCTAGTGCATTACATTAGGTCCTGCATTAACACTAGCCATGTTATTCCTGTATTATGCTATGCATGCCAAGAATAAGTAAAACTTACAGGCAGTCCCAGAAAGAGGGTCTAAATATTTAAAGAGAAGATATTCACTCCGGTGATTTAAGGGATTCACATTGACCAAAGCCAAAACATTTACCCCACAGATAACCTCATTGACTACACCTAGGAGCAAATATCAGAATACATTTTCCAAGACTATCAAAACCAGTTTAGAAAGGTTTTGTCATGCCATAGTATCCTGTTCATTATGACAGAGGAAAATCCACATAACTGGCTAAGAGCAGCCTCTTTTTTTCTACAGAATCACACCAATGCACCAGACATGTTTCAGATTTACCAGCACTTAAATATATAAAAGCTAATTGAAAATTATATTAATATCATTCATTTTTCTTTTTTTAAAATTAAGTTTACATAAATGCAGATCTCTTAGTAACAAAGGTACAAAATTATTTTTCACCAAGTGAAAAAAATGAGGTATTGCAAAAGGAGTTCTCCCATCTGTGAAAAATGTGCCTAAAATGACTATTGAAAAAAATATTTAGAAAAGTAGTGCATAATAAATGTATATATGTTCATGACAAAATAATCAGCTATAAAACACTGTACAAAAATCAGCAGGCCATGTATAAAATAATATATTTATCTCTGTGACAGCAAATTCTAGCTACTACCAAATCCAACCACAACACCTGTGATAGAAGCTCCAGTCTGGTAGAGCGTGCAGTGGTACACCATGAGGACAGCTCAGGGGAACTGGGCTGTGCATTCCCATTAGTTTGTACTACATTAACATGTTAGCTTCCAGTGCTAATATCCCTGACAATATAAAGTGAACAAATACTACTGCCAATACCTGAACCCTGAGGGCTGTGTTGTTTTAGCTGAAATTTAAAAATCAAAACTTCAAAACACTTCAGCAGTCCTCCACAATAGCAAGAGGCCTCACCATATCCCCACAACCTCAGATCTACTTTTGTCCACATGTTTTAGGCCAATCTTTGGTTTGCCCTTTTGTGGTTACAATGTGTCTTTTTGAACCAAGACTAAAAGCGCATCTTAAATGTGTGCCAGACTGAGAGGGAACATTTAGTGACGTGGCCAGATGTTCTACAAAAGGCTGCTAATAAACTCAACCCTTCAGCTATTTTAAATGATGCTTCGTCGCTTCTCTAACAAATCTTTTATACTTCAACCTTTGGTAAATGGTACAGTCGTATTCTTATCCAGCAGGCAAAACTCACAAAAGACCTTTTCATCATCTGAATTAGTTAGTGTACTGATTCAGGTGCAATAAACCCCAATTAAATTTGTCTTGACAACAAATGCAAGCAGCTTTGCCAGCCAACATGAAAAGAAAAGTCAAGTCAAAATCCAAAATCCATATCCATTGCATTAATATTCTCATGCTCAAACGTTCAAACATAAATGGGATTTCTCTCTTATTTAACAATTCTTTTAGAAGGTCCAATTAAAATAAAAATAAAAAATAAATTAAGTATTTTTAACTTAAAAGAAAAGTGCTTTTTTCATATCATAGCCCGTACCCATTTCCCATATTTTGCTCCTCTCTGCATTAGTTCCAGCGGAAGGAGATATGTCGGGGGCGGTCCCCTCCCTCCTTCACCAGTGGCTTGTGAAACTCTCGCCCGGCTCGGGAATGGATGGCTGCCCAGCAGTACTCACAGTAGTACTGCAGACATGTCACGTTGGCGCAAAAGAAGGGAGCAAACTTTCCCCCACAACGAGTGCCCTGGCACTCATCACACAGCTGGTCATCCAAAACATATGGCTTCACTTCCACCTGGGACAGATATGCAAATGTGTCATGAGGGAGTATTTGAGCCTACAAATTACCTGCAGCTCATGCACGCTAAAAAAACAAGTCATCAGAGCCTAAATGCTCATTATGAAAGTACAATATAAAAACTCACCCGTTTATCTATTTCCCCATGCTGCAGTTGAACAAATCGGGCACTAATGGCTGCTATGTAGCTCTGCTGATTGGAGAAGGCCACTCGCCCCGCCCCTTTGGGATATTTCAGTTCCGGGTCTGTGTCAATCCCAGCATAACACACTCCCCCATACAAACGATCCATGATCATGGCCAGCTCCACTGGAAAACCATAATTTTTAGAGACCAAAAATGGCTCTGGTCAAAATATACGAATTAATTTATAGCAAACCTGCACGTAAAGGGCGAGGTACACCCCCAACAAAAATGGTCTTTCGTGGGTCCAAAGGCTGGGAGCCATCCATGACAAAGTCACTGTCATTGAGATTCCATGGCCTAATTTGCACCTGTGGTATAAAAAAAAAAAAATAAAAATTATATATATATATATATATTATATATATATTTGTGCCTTGTACAAAGTACAAAACAGCAAATGAGCACACACTCACAGGCTTGTCCTTTATGGTTGGGCTTGAGACACACAAGTAAAGTTTCCCATCTTCTTGAATACAGGCGTCAATCAGCGCCTGAACAGAGCTCTCGTCTTGGAAGAGGAGGAATGCATATCCTTCAAGGAGAAGAAACAGTCCACAGTAAGGAAAAAACATGGGAATAAAATAAAAGATCTATTCAAAAAAAAAAAAAGGTACATGTTATTCAAATGATAGTCATACGCCAAAATGCAGCCTTGAGCAGTCAGACACAAAGATATGAAGAAAAGGTGCTTCATAAGACTTCCTGCCCATATTACACTGCTTATTTAAGGATAGTTGGATTATTGAGCTCACCTTTTGGTGGAAAATACGATTTGCTTTCTGCCTTGTGAGGCCAGTCCACAAATAAATGACCAAATCGACGAAAACTGGCAGTGATCTCATCTGGAAAAAAAGGAAGCCAATTCATGTAACAATTATCTGAATACACCTTGCATTGCAATTCCCCCCCCCCCATTATTAATGGCAATCCATCATGCTGCCAACTTCATAAGGCAATAATCATTCAGGCAACTTCAGCTGCACCAAATATTCATACATACAGTTTCTAAAACTGCTTTGGAAAACAAAATTGGATGTTAATATTTTTTGTTAGATAAAAGGAAAGCTGAATTGACAAATATATATATATATATAAAATGTACAGGCTACAGTATCCCATCATATTATACAGTATGAAATGTAGCTCTGTGCTAATACATACGATAGTGCAGTTATGTCTCGTCGCAACTGAAAGAATGCATGCATGAAGGATGATTGTGGACAGTCAATGCAGACCTGCACATGTTACTTGGCTTGAGGATAAAGGTGATGAAAAATGCATACTTTGGCCAAAGTTTTGGATAGATGAAAGCAGAGCTGATGGCTTGGGGAATATGGCACAAATTCCCCAAGCTCTGGCTTTACAACACTGCAACAGAGGTCTGAACTCTACATTCTAATTAGTGTTTCATACAGAAGTTTAAATAGATTATATTACATCTGCTATGTTATAACTGACTCCACTCTAATGGCAACAGCATCTTTATCTGTGGCGTGACAGTAGCCCTCTTGGAGTCACGCACATGAGTCTTGAAAAACCCCTGCACAGGTGGAATTGTCTGATGCAGAGGAGTGGATAACAGGAGGAGTAGCAGTCAAACTAGAGAGGCAGACTCTCCCTCCCCCACAAAAAAATTGCATCATGTACATCATCAATCAACCTTTATTTTTTTCGAGTGCTTTTCCTACACAGCCCGCATGTTGCATAAACCATTCCCATTAACCCTTGTGCTGTCCTCAGGTCAAATTGACCCATCATAATGATTAAAAAATACCCTAACTTTATTTTTATTCTATCACGCTGAATTTTGTTGATTTTTCAACGTTGACCAGCCCAAGGTCATTTAGACCCTTAAATTGGGGCATTTTACCTTTAAATTATCTACCAGAGGTCCTTCGTGGCTTTACCTTCATCAATGTCTGGAGGCAGCCCTCCAACAAACACCTTGCGGGAAAACCGTTCCACGCGTTCCCCATTGAGATGTGGAAAACAGTGAGCAGAACCCAGTCCACCAAGTCCCTGGTCTCCAGACTCATCATCTCCAAAAGAGCGCTCATCCTCCATCGGGAAGAGTGAAGAATGGCCTGCAGTAAGAAATAAGAATGACTGTGCTGCTCTTCATCCAATATCATAGAAGAATCCTTTTCATTGTCGTTTTGCGAGAATGTAATTGTCCTAGACAAAATAAGCCATAAAACAAGCCACAATTCAAGGTTACACATACAAAAACAAGGGGGGGTTTAGGTCCAAAACACAAATCTGAGAACTCACTTCCTAAAGGAAAACAAAAAACGACAAGTGACAGATTTCATGGGGTACAACAAAAATCAATTACCTCGACGTCTCCCATAATTTCTTGCTGCATGTAAAACAAAAGAACCATACTTAAATACAAGTAAAAAATGGCCGCCACTGGATGCCATTTTAGTCAAAGGTCTATCCCACTGTAACATGAGGCCACCCCATTTGTTTTGGGCCATATCTGCTGTGATGCCACATGCTAGTGGTGTCTAAATGTGTTTCACATACCATTCATAGGAAGAGGTCCATCTCCACCCTGGTGAGAGAAGTTATAGCGACCTACAAGATGGCAGAAAAAATATAAATATATAGTTTTATCTTAGTCCATATTATATGTACACTTTTCTTTTTTTAATCAATCAATCAAAGTTTATTTATAAAGCGCTTTTTCATACAACAGATGCAACACAAAGTGCTTTACAGTTTGGCTAAAAAACAATAAAACGACGATAAGAGACTTGGCAGGGTTCAGATGCAACCGGCTGAAGAAACGCCATCCAAGGAGCCGTCAGCGCCAGGAGCAGAGAGCCGCCCATAGCCAAAGGGGACGACACAGGACCCAGAGGAGACCCAAAACCGAGGCCCCGGGCCCTCACCAGGTCCAAGAGTCCGACCCCCACAGCCACAGCCAACCACCGCTCCCAGCGCAGAAGGCTCCTCCAGAGGAAACACTGGGGATACTTAAAAACAATACAATAAGTAAAACACTAAAATGTGAGCCTGAGAGGAACTATCACACAAAACATGAATAAAAGCAATAGCAATATAATAAATAATAAAGGATAAATAGAATATATAAAAATGGACTAATAAATACTAATCAAAAGCTAATCTAAAAAGGTGTGTCTTGAGCCTGGCTTTAAAAATATGAATGTTCTCTGCGACCCTGAGCTCCTCCGGCAGACTGTTCCAGAGACGGAACCCATTCAGGGCGGGAATGCATTACTGGGAAAGCAGACATGTCTTTTGACTAATTCCATTCATTGGTCAACTCTCTTGATCAAAGAAATGAGCCAGGATATACCAGGGATGAGAATTGTCCGTGGATCCGCGATTACCGTATGACAGCGGTCCCTGTGAGCCGCTGTGACAACAGCTCAGTGAACGCACAGCCGTAACGTGGTACTGAGAGCGGACTATAGACGCACGTACAGGACCATCTACAGCCTGTTGCAAGAGTCTACCCTGTGTTTCCTACCGAAGCGGAACCAAAACTCACAAAATTTAAAGCTAGGGTAACAGTAAAATGTTGTGAACAAATCAAACCGAACACACCACTGGCCATCTTGGGTTTTTTTTTTTTTTTTTAATCATGATTTTGCATACCTTAAGAGCCCTGTGATTCATTTGAATTTTTGGGCTGAGAGAGTGGATTTCTTTCTTCTTTTTTTCCCCTCACAGTTAGTGCAGGGGTTAAAGCAAAAAAAAAAGATTTGACTGAAAATTTTTGCATGGAAATTTATCACATGTAAATCACAGTAATATGCAAGACCAAGTTATATTTTTAATTACAATATATTATTGTATAATAGATTGTATATTGCAGCCATTCCCAAACTCAGTAACACCGAGGCCCCCTTAAAAATCTGACGGGTCTGCGTGGCCCCCAAAATAATAACCAAGAAGACAACATTAAGAATAGGCTCTTCTGGTTATTTTATTTTGGGGAAATAGCCTCTGCTACAAACATTGTAATACAAAAATGATTACAGTGGATTATTCAAGTCAAATAATGAACACAAATACTTTAATATTACAAACAAAACATTATAAATTTAACATTAAATAATTATATTATTTTTTTATTTTTTTTATGACCTCCCGCGGCCCCCCTGCAGTACCCACTTTGGGAGACACTGGTATATTGAATACAGCTCAAATGAATTCTTCAAAGATATACAGTGTATTTTGATATGAAATATAAGTGGATCAAGCAACGAGTCAACTTTTTGACAGAATATTAGTGAGAGTAGCTTTACTTGAGGCGATATGGAGCCTCAACACTTTGGCTCTGTCCTCGTCAAAATATCGCAAAAGGACGATACAATTCTGTCCACATTTGTTTGTGGACACGTCAATATTTAAGAAAAAGGTTTCCTTATCAAGTTTGAGTGCACAGTGCACTTCGATCAACTGCAAATGATTTAAATAAATCTACCAGCGGTAGTGATATTCTGAACGTTATTTTCTGCGATAAAGCCACAGACACGGTCCGCCAGAGCAAGCCTAGTGTTAGTTGTTGCTGATGCACCAGGTAAAGATGAAGTGTGGGAAAGTGCACAAACAGCTGCCTTGTGCGCAGTTTTGAGCTGGTGGCGAATCAAAACTTTTTTTCTCATTACTCCCATACATGCAATTTTTTATGGCAAAGTACGCACAAGCACCGGCCACTTTCATCTTTTCGCACCATGACTCATTGATTGGCTCTTTTACATCACGCTGAGTTTTGCAAGAAGATCGCAAACAAGACAATATCAAAAGCTCACCAAGACATGTTTGTCCCCATTCCCAGTCGCAGCAAAGTCTGTTTTGTACATTCCGTTAAGTAAACTAGCATTGCGTTTGGTAAACGTTAATTACCTTTAGTCTATTACGCGCCCAGCTTACCAGTCCGCGGATCTGCTGCTGTTAGTGCTCCGTTCGAGATTCAATTTTCCTCCTCTTCTCCTTTTCAAAAGCTCCGTGCAGTTTCCAGAAACTTTCACCTCCGTGTTACCAATGCTAACTTCATCGCGTCTTCATTTGCGCGTGAGCTCAGCTACGTCCCATTGCCTTGATTCATTTGCAGAGCGCTCATGTGGCCACGGCACGTTCAAGGCCCACTCGTGATTATATTACTTATTATTTCTATATACATATAAATACAATTATATTCAAATTATTATTATACATCGAGATATATATATATATATATATATAAAAAACAGATTCACACGTATATGTATTACTATATATTATTTTTATAATCAATCATTTCATTGTGTGTATTATTATCATTATATATATATATTTTTTTTTTTCCAGACCCATTTCATTTGACGGAAATCCGTCACCTAGACGGAACTCTTTAATCCCTGAGTTAGTGCCACTTTATTGCCAAACTCTTGTTAACTTATTGTATTGATAAATATTTGTTAGTCTCACATTATTTGGGTTGTTTTATTATCTTTCCTATGTGGAAGTATATATTTTTTTCTACTGAAAGCTTATAATAATAATAATAATACACTTTTGAAAGCCACATGTGTCAGCTCTCAAGTTTGTTTGGAATTAAGTTTCTATCTGCTACAGAGGCCGAGATATCAATGATTTAGTAGATGTAGAATTTCAGGAAAACTTCAGGTTTTAGGGGGTGATTCTACGGTCATAGGTTTAACAGGTATGTCTTTACCAGGGGTTATAGGCCTGAATGGGTTAATATAGTGGGTGGGTGTGTGGTCATGTCAAAGAAAAAATTATGTAAAATGTGAACCAAATCATAAGAGAACTCTGCATCATTTATTAATTAATCAAATGCTTGAAATATCTTTGTATACAATAAACAATAAGCAAGTTGGGTCTCCACCTCACCACTGCTGGTGTGGGAACTAACCTTTCAAGGAATCCTGCTCAGCCCTCATAATGTCAATCAGGGAGTTCTCCAGAGACTGCATACTGAAACCATCAAAGGAGCGTGCTCTCTCCTGCAAAGGAATACTGTGATTAGCCTCTCAACAGCTTTCAACAATCAATGTTGAAAGCTGGAGACTCCAACCTAAAGCTTGGGGAGCTACCAGTAAAATACCTCCTACCAAGTAGCTCCCCAAAGGATTTAGAGATTAAAAATAATATTGTGCATTGATTGTAGGAAAATGCAGATACATTGATTGCTGATATTAACCATAGTTTGGCTTATTCCAGACAAAAATGGTTAGAGCCAACTAGCAAACAAAGAGCCAGATCAGAAGAGAGATTTGCTAGTGCATGGGTCACTTCATCCACAGGCAAGACACTTGACCCACCTATCCCAACTATTTTTTTTCAGATAAAATAATGCTGAACAGGAGGTAGAAACTAGAAAAGCACTTGTAGAGCACACACTTCTTCCAGATTCAGATTCAGATTCATTTATTTGCCATTTGCAGTAAAACCACATTGGAAAAACTGTGCAAGACTACCCCGGTGTGCACCAGACAGAGAAGACGACACACACCAGAGCTCTTGCCACGGCGCCATCTTTACGGCGCCATGGCATGCCATTGCATCCATGTGCATTATTCAGGTTTAATTAGCATGCTCCCAATCATCCCAATCAAATATGCCAACTACACTTTACTCCTAAGTCACTTGCTGATATATTGCAATTTGTGATTTTTGTATTTATTTTACAATATTCTGTTTTTCTTCCAGTTGAGCAAAATCAAATTCATACATAATCAGCATTTTCACTGTATGCACTACCAATTGTCAATTTTTGAAATTATCTGAAAACAAATTTAATCTTTTGCGAAAAATCCTTCAGTGACTATTTGTATAAACAAACAAAAATCAGCCCAGTGTGTACCAATCTTAACCGCAGCTCAAAGCACAAGACCAGATCAGGACGAGAGGAAAATCATGTGATCGGCTCAGATGATAAGGCTTCTTCTTTGACCAAACCATTCATCCTTTGTCCGATATCCTGTTTTTTCTCAATGGCTCATTAGAAGGATTAGGTATAGACAAGGATGTAAAATGATGGAAGTAATCGTTTTCTTCATGAGAAGTACATGTTCAATTGCTGGAGGCCAAGCAGTTTTACCTACCTGAAAAGGATAGATGTTGTCACTGCGGTTCATGCTATCCTCCACCCAGCCCTTGTGACTGAAGCCAGAGTTATTCCTGGGGAATTTCTGAGAAGATACCTAAAAGCAATTAATGTTCTGCAAAACACTAGGTAGTTCAATAGCACTCACAAACTGCCTTACTAAATTATTACGTTAATTGATTTTAGTTTGTACATTATAGTGTATGTCAGGGTCATTAGGTTATTGGCTAGTCTTAGAAATATACAATTGTAATATCAAATCAATAATATATTCTAGATCCCATTTTTATCCAACAAAATAGACATTTGTATACTGTTGAAATAAGTAAGTGTTCCATACCTGGTTATTAGCAAATGACTTCTTCAGTGGAGAGATCGAGTTAAGGCCAGTCATTCCCCCACTGACACCTCTGCGGTACTCGCGTACCCCCTGTGTTCCTCCCCACCCTCCGTACCCACCCGGACTCCAGGAGGTGGATGTGGGGGTGGAGGGGCTCTGATAACTTCCCCAAGGAGATGGAGGTTTGCTTTGAGTGGGTGTCAGGTGTTGCATCTGTGTGAACGCCCCAGTGCGATGGGGATGAGGGGGAAAGGATGGAGGATGAGGGCTGGCAGGGGACCGGCGGTGCTGCTGTGGGATGCCCTGACCGTGAGGGTGGTAATGCTGGGGGTGCGGGGTTGGCGGAGCTGGGTGATGTTGGGACACTGGCCCCATCTGTGAGAAACTACCCCCAGCACTAAAGCTTGGGCCTGCATGATGTGAGAAGTTTTGAAACAGGAGTGGAGGACCATTTGTGTTGGAGACGGGAGGACTGAAGAAGCCTCCAACATCCTCTCCGACCACTGGAGACTGGGTGGATGGGACTGCAGTGGACCAGTTATTAAAGCTGGTAAGGGAGGAAGATGAGGATGTGGATGCACAAGTTGTGACCATTCCCAATCCCTCCTGATAGTCGAATCCACTTAAGACTGGTGAGTCCATTCGGAGCTTCTCTTTGCCAGCACTGCTCTCCAATGAACCCTTCTCTAAAGAGCCCTCTTCAGGCAGAGCCCCATCAAGCTCCCCTAGGGCTCCACCCGGTTCTTGCTGCCCAGGTGGGCTGCTGGGTTGCACCTGGCTCTGAGACTTCTCCTGAATGTCCTGCAGCTCCAAAGGCTTGGACTTGTCACACTCAAGAATCTCATCTTGCATGTTACTGTGTTGGGCTACAGCAGGGAATAGCCAGGCACTGCCCCCATTGGTGGAGCAGGTATTGTTCACGAAGGAAGGGGGGCTTGGAGGGTTTGACGAGTGGTGAGGATTCTGGGGTTGCAGGTGAGGTGGAATCCTTACGGGAAAACCAGATTTACTTCCACTGCCGTTCTTCACAAGGACTCCAAACCCGTAGTCCCCCATTTAGGACGCCCAGTAAATGTTCAAGTGTCTTCTGGCTTTCACCTTCTTTTTTCCCCCTAGATGCGATGAAAAATGAATATGATCAGTAAACAAACGTGACAGTAAGCATAAAGCATTTACAACCCAAGCTGCTGAGGCCATTTAAAAGCACAAACGCAGTAATGCGCCTGGGCTGCACCCTCCCTAGTCTTGTGATGCAATCAGTGAGATTAAATCATTCACTCGCCAAGCCATGGGAGGCCTGGATGAAATACAACACGGGGAGAGCAAGCAGGCCAGACAACCACGGACAACCACCAGCATATCCCAGGCAGAAAGTGAACAGCTTGTCCTGGTGAAGCTTGAGTCTCCGAAGGTCGTTAAGGCAGCTAGCCGCAGCAAGCTAACAGCTGCTTCTCCACCTTCCATGTGCCCTATTAGTCATGCACAGAGCAGCTCTCAATTATGATCAGCGCGTTACATCTGTACGTAAAGGGACACACTGTGCTCAAACTGTACCTACCAATGTATCTCCCTATTCGACCAATATCCTCCTCGTACGACGCCTTTTAACAGAGGAAAATGCAGAGGACGCCTCCAGTCTCTTGTGAATCTAGGGTAGTTCCCTTTCCCAAGCCGCTAGCCGCTAACATAATAGCCGAAAGCCGCAGAGAAGTAGCATATGCAGCGCACATCTAGGCTCGATAATCGCGTTCACCGACTATGAGACCGCCTGGGGTTTCATCTGCAAACACGGCTCCACCGAAAGCAAAGACCAGAGGAATTTTCCAGGACATGACAAGTTGGTGTGCGGCTCTTTAAACGACCTCGTCTGTTTCACGTCCTGTACGCTCAATGTCACACAGCCTACGAACCCGTGTCATCCTTTCACGCAGCGACCAGTCGAACGCACATCGGCCGCAAAACATCCACAAACGTGCATTGTTACGTCGGGTATAGCTACCTTCAATTTGGTGTCATGACCTTATCGTTTTGATGTTGCCATATTTCTGAGTTTTTTTTCTTTTCTGCATTTCCTAGGCAGCCGGTGTAAATGGTCTCTGCTCTCTTCTAGATGACAGCTGGGCCAGTCGGGACACACTTCCGTCTACAAGCCCGGCCCACGTAACAACCATTCAGCCAATCGGCGCCAGGATTTCCCTTTGGAGCCCCGCCCACGCACAGAGAGATCTGTGATCCTATTGGGTCGTTGGTGTGGGCATAACGCCCACCGCACTCCTTCTCAATGAAGGCACTTGCTCTTAAGACATTCTCCTCCCTAATAAGGACGCATTTTAATTCATGGGAGGAGTTGTGAACAATCTAAATTAATGATTAAAAGAAGTTGCCTCTATTTGAGACTACTTCTTGGCCTATTGACCCAATATAGATGTGCTGAATAAAATAACAGGAAATATAACTCCATTGATATGCAATGACCAGTGACCACAGACATTATGGGCACAGGATTTAAAGTGGAATTTAGCTTAGGTTATAGTTGAAAAGATGGCATTTTCTTTTGAATAGAAGATTAGACCCAGATACGCAACCAAATAAACTCAATGTCATTATTTAACCCTAAACAAAGGAATGCACTAAACCATAACCCTACAAAGATAGAACACATTAACACTGTCTGGCTAATCCATTATCTAAGTCTATACTATTAATCTTAACACAAGAACCCTGAGAATAATGTGTTTCTCCAATGGCAGTATTAGTGGGTAGGCCTCTAACATAGTATCATCCCTGTGTCATACAGGCCAAAAATAGATGTCTCTTCAAATGTGCAGTGTTAATGCTTGCCGGGTCAATCTACAGTACGAATCCCATATCGACAACCAGACCGCATCTATTGGTAAAAAAGTCTGCAGTTTAGTCTGTACAAACTGGGGTATTGAAATTAGCTGAGCCATGCCCTGTGATGTAATCCCAGTTATTATAAGATTATTTGACTTAACAAATGTTTTGCTTCTTGACTGTGCTGAAGCCCTGGGTTGTAACATTATGACACACACTATTGCACATGATTTTATTGAAAGATTACACTGCCACACAGCATCCCACAACAATCCCTTTAGAAATAATCTGCTGCTATTTTAAGATCACAATCCTGCTAAAGGCATGATTGATTTCAACCAGACAGAGGTGGGCTTGTCTCTGTTTGCTAACATGTCATGTTCTAAAGCAAATGACAAAATTAATGTTTATGTATGTATTTATTTGTGTTGTGGTACTATAACCATTATGTGTCCATATCTGTCTATAAATGCACTAAAAATAAGCACATGTATTACTGCTGATCAAAGACCTCCTGACCTCAAAGAGACATACTTTTTTGTTTGTGGTTTTTATTTAATTTAGCATGAATATAATTATATTAATGAGAAGAATGAGTTCTGAACTTGTTACTTACTTTACTTTCTTCCACCAAAGGCCGGCCCTTTCTTCACCTGGATCCTGTCATGTTGTAGCAGATTTACTCCAAACCGCCCCTTTTCTGCAGGGCCTTTTGGGTGGTTTAAAAGACACAACCTCCACCTGAGCTATGGCTTTTCTAATTCGAAAGTATTATTGCTAACTTTGCCAGTTTACAGCTGTGTACAATAGCAAGTTTAAACGACTAAGCCACTGTTTTAACACTATATTACAGTGTAAAATGTGTGTGCCCACAGAAACTCATCTTGGACCACTCTTTAATCATTTATTTTGCAACTTTAGTGGCCAGTCATTAATTCATTAGTTCAGTAGACGACAGAGCCTCCGCAGTGAACCAGCTCCGGTTTCTCAGCTTTTCGCACCGATGCTTCCATGATAAAGTGTTGCCATGCCAACAGGGTACAGGCTCGGAGATTTCAGCACTGACCAGATGTTATTGTTTGGGCAAGAGGTTATCACTTTATTCTGATTCATGGATTGCACTACCTGCAAACGTGAAATGACAAAATATAACCCTAATTCCTTTCAATACAACAATAAAAAGACAACTGAGAAGCCTCAACTTTCGTCTGACAAATGACTCCTGAATGCTTACATCTTGCCCTAATTATTACTGGTAAGTAGAGCCCACCTTGGGTGTTAGCGACTCTCAATATAAGTACAGATATTCTGGCATGGCCTCAAACTTTTGTGTCTATTGGTCAATAAACAACATCAGGAAGTCCAAGGAATCACCCAGAGAGGTCAGGGATATATAGTGGAGAAGTCTATAGGATAATTCAATACAAAACAGATTTTGGTAGCTAAGAACATCTCACACTGTTCAATGCATTATCTGAAAATTAATAAAAGAATGGCGCGTCTGCAGCTGAGCTGCGTTATCTGTTCTCCTTCACGTTCTCTCAGGTCGGCAGATCAAGCTCTGCTTGGGGTTCCTCTGACTGAACGGAAACTTTTTCGGTTGTTGGTCCTAAATTATGGAATGAGCTGCCCTTAGACTGTCTGATTCACTTCTTGTTTTTAGGTCTCGTCTTAAAACTCACATGTTCTCATTGGCTTTTAATTGATTTTGAATTGTTGATTTTTTTTGCTGTAAATAGTGTGTTTTTTGCCACTGCTTTGTATTTTCTAGTTGTATTTTTTTAATGTATTTTTATGTACAGCACTTTGGTCAACCTTGTTGTTTTTGTTAGTGCTTTATAAATAAACTGGAATGGACTGGGATAATGTGTACATGGTCCTATTATGAATTGTACTATACCCAAAGATGGCCTTTATGGACGAGTAAAGGGAAGAAAGTCATTGCTGAGGGAAAGCAATAAGTGTTGTGTTTGTAGACTTTTTGAGGGTACGGTAATAATAATGCATCGGTTTTATACATCGCTTTTTTGGACACTGAAAGATGCGCCACACGGCATCATTATCACCCCGTACATAGTGGTGATAAACTATTCCTGTACTAACAGAAGGCAACTAGTATGTGCCAAAATAGGTTCCACAAAGTATTAGCTTGGCCTGCAAACACTATTTGGCAAGCCAGTCTCTCCTATGCCTATTCATACTATATAAAATAAATTATAAATAGAAAATATAGAACATCTCACAAAAACATATTTTATATTTCAAATTACTTCTGCAGTAGTTGGTTGCATGAAGTGAATCCATTCAAAATGGTATTGATATTGATATAGGGTTCATGTGCCAAGTATAACTCATTTTAGTATTACCAAGTTAAGACTGTAGGTATTTTATTATCACATTCTTCTTTTTTTGGCATATCAAGTTTAGTAACAGCCAAATGGCGCCCCCCTGTGGTGCAATTTTGCTGAGAAAACAAGATGTTATGTTTTGCTGAGAAAACAAGAGTGATAATGGACTCAGACTTAAATTTCAAAAGCCACATAAAATCTGTAACATCAGCAGCTTATTACCACCTAAAAAACATTGCTAAAATTAAAAACATAGTGTCTAAGGCAGACTTGGAGACTCTTATACACGCTTTTGTCTCCAGTAGGTTAGACTATTGCAATGGCCTGCTCACAGGTCTGTCCAAACAGGCTGTAAAACAGCTGCAGTACATTCAACATGCAGCAGCTCGAGTCCTGACCAGAACTAGGAAGTACGACCACATTAGTCCAGTTCTCAGGTCTCTGCACTGGCTTCCTGTTCCTCAGAGAATAGACTTCAAAGCAGCTTTACTTGTGTACAAGTCTCTCCATGGTCTCGCGCCAAGGTACATCCATGACATGTTTGTGCCATATGAACCGACCCGGACTCTGAGGAGCACAGGGACTGGACTCCTGTTAGTGCCCCAGAGTCGGTACTAGACATGGGCAAACTGCATTTCAGATTCATGCGGCTAGAGTCTGGAACCGTCTTCCTGAGAATGTGAGACAGGCGTCTACTCTGGCATCTTTTAAATCTAGGCTCAAAACAATTCTGTTTAGCTGCGCATATACAACTGAATGATTTTATCTTTTCATCTTTGTTTTTATCTTTAATCTTTTTAATGCACTGTGACTATTTATGATTTTAGTCCCATCTGTGATTTTAATGTTTAAAGGTTTTTAATTTTTGTGATT